AAAAAAAAAAAAAAACAGGTTAAGGATGGCAGAGAATCCTAGAATAAGTGCACCAACTACTGATGGTCTTCTTGTCATCACTAAGTCTCCAGGCACCTCCTGATTGCTCCTGAAAGTGAGCATGGTAAAAAGTGGGGTTGGACAGACATGGCTGGGTTCTCTCCTGCACCATGCACTGGTTTAGCCACAGCTAGTGACAGTGGAGGGAGAACTGGTCCTATTTTTTCACATATCTCAACTTGGAACAATTTACTTGGGCTTCAGAAATACTCATTAATACACTGGCCCAAAACACACTTACATGTCTACTCTGTCCTGGCACTGTGCTAAGCGCCAGGTAACCAACGAAGAACAAGACACATAAGGCCCCTGCCCACAACGGGGCTTACATGAGGGAGGGAGGGAGGGATAGAGAGAGAGAGAGAGAGAAATGGACAGTAAGCAAGTACACACAGCTATGGACGGGGCTCACTGTCATGAGGGAAACAAGGGTAACTGGTGTGGTGGAGTGGGTATTTCTAAGGAGGCCACATTGAACTGACCTGAGATCTGAGGTGTGAGAAGCCACAGCAGCCCCACAGGAGCACAGGGCCATGAGGGAGGAACAAGTGTGACGCCTTCAAGGAACTAAGAGGCCTGTCTCACTGGAACAGGGCAATTGAGGAAAAGGAAGAGAACAGCATGAATTGCTGGGTGGACTGGGGCTCACAGAAAAGACTGGGCCAAAGATACCAATTCACAAGTCCTCAACACGTTGATGATGTTTACAGCTCACAAACTGGGGTTTGATCCCCTGGGGACAGAAGAGGAACCAGCACAGGCCTTAAAATGCCCTTTCTTACTGTGACTGTCGAAATAGTAAGAAAGCTTTCTGGCCGGATGTGGTGGCTCACGCCTGTAATCCCAGCACTTTGGGAGGCCCAGGCAGGTGGATCACGAGGTCAGGAGATGGAGACCATCCTGGCTAACACAATGAAACCCCATCTCTACTAAAAATACAAAAAATGAGCTGGGCGTGGTGGCGGGCACCTGTAGTCCCAGCTACTCGGGAGGCTGAGCAGGAGAATGGTGTGAACCAAGGAGGCGGAGCTTGCAGTGAGCGAAATCGCACCACTGCCCTCCAGCCTGGGCAACAGAGCGAGACTCAATCTCAAAAAAAAAGAAAAGAAAGCTTTCTACAGGGCACCCTCGCATACACTGCCAAAACAAACATTATCCACAGCAATACTCCCTCTCACAACTGGGCAATGCTTATTAATATTGTCTACTCTATTTCATTTGAAAAAGCAATCAACATGCTAACATTTCATGCCCCACTAGAGGTTCACAAGCCACAACTTGAAAAACTGGTTTAAGTTCAGGCAGCAAGAAGAGGGCCCAGGCCGGAAGATGAGGTGAGGCAGGCACCACCGCCAGGAAGGAGAGTGGCATTCCCTAATAATGCTGCTAAGTGGCCATTAGATTTGGCAATATGGAACCTGTTGGTGACAAAAACAAGAACAGTTTCAGAGTGATGGGGGGATAGGTGTCAGATTGGAGCATGTGAAGAATGAGCAGAAGCAGGAGAGAGAAGTGGTTGAGAATGGAACAAGAGGTTTAAACCGACTTTATCTATGAAGTTTCCTTTATTTAAAACCCAGGAAGAAGAGTATTGATGTTATGAACCTCTTGAGAAGACATAACAGCATTTCTGTGGTATTTCAGCCAAAAACTCAACCTCAATTGGGAGAAAACACTAGACAAGCTGAAATTGAGGAGACATTTCCAAAATAACGGATCACTACTCTTCACAAGTATAAACATTATAAATAACAAAAGAATTGTTACAGGCTGAAAAAGACTAAGAGAAATAGCCAATGCAATGTTGAGATCTAACTCAATCTTGAGACAGAACAAAAGAAAATATGCACAGAAAACTTCTGAAATTCAATTCAGTTCATAGTTTAGTTGTTATTATACTTATTATTATTATTATTATTATTATTGGCAATGGAGTTTCACTCTGTCGCCAGTTGCCCAGGCTGGAGTGCAGTGGCGAGATCTCAGCTCACAGCAGCCTCCGCCTCCCAGGTTCATGCTATTCTCCTGCCTCAGCCTCCCAAGTAGCTGGGACTATAGGCATTCGCTACCAAGCCCAGCTTATTTTTGTATTTTTAGTAAAAACAGGGTTTCACCCTGTTGGCCAAGCTGGTCTCAAACTCCTGACCTCAAGTGATCAGCCCACCTTGGCCTCCCAAAGTGCTGGGATTACAGGCGTTTAGTTATTATTATTG